TCGCCGTCTACATCCCTGGCTTCGTCGACATTGGCAGGGACCCTACCAACGTCACCGGCGGACGCGCGAGGTACGTCCGAAAAATCCTTCTCTGGACAGAGCTGGTTCCATCGTGCGTGGATGGCGGCGGGCTTCGCGTGTAGTATCGACGGGCTGGCGTGCTCTTGCAGCGTACCCTGAAAGGCGACGGAGATGAGATGGTACCAGTTCAAGTCCGGCCTGGCGAGTTGGTGGATCGGTGTTTCGGAGGGCTGTTTGGAGCGCGGCGAAGGGAGGGGAATGGCGATACCGGTGTCGGTGTCCGCGTCGTCCATTGAAGACGATGCGTCGTAGGAAGGAAGGATAGTGGAGAGAGTTGGTGGGTCGTTGTATATTGATTGGGCAGGTGAGGTTGAGGATGCCAAGAGACGATGCGGCTCAGACGACGACAGCCGCCGAAAGCGGCAATCTGCATTAAAGCGCTGGGTCTGCACCTCGATTCTGCTTGTCGTACCGGTATACGTATAAGTGCAGGAACATCACCAATAAAAGTACTATTTGAAGTGGTCATCTAGTTATCTACCAGTTTGCACAGGGTTATCATGACCTTCTTGCGGGTATGGACATCGACGTCACCTTATAAGTATATTGCGTCGGCAACTCTCAGGGAAACAAAATGCAACATGTCAACATGCGCGCAAATGCAATCCTCCTCCTTAATTATGCGTACGCAAAGTCGTAAACCGTCGCAGATAGAACATACAAAGATATAAGGTACTCGAGTATAATATATATGACATCATGAATAACCCACATGGCTAGCGATATTTTTTGCCTGATAAGGCGTAGCCAGCTTGGTCAAGTAATTAAATGTCCTCGATTCGTAGCCTTGTACGCAGACAGATAGTCGCTCACCTGAGATTGATATTGCCACGACAGTCTCTTCTTTTTGTGTATATTTCTATATCGTGCTCAGTATGGACAGTACACTCTGTCAAGGGTTCTTATATCAAATACCTAGGTATCGACTCAAGTGGACACCGATTGGGACAGATGAGCGAATTCAGGTCTCCAAAACCATCTCGCACACCCTAAATTGAACACGAAACGCACTCATTTCTCTGATAATCTCTCATATGGATATATGTCAAGAACAACGCTTTTTACTAAGCAGCCACAAGGCTATAAATACCCCCCTCTCCCCACCTTTGTGGGCACCCCATTCCTCTTCCTCTCATCCCCCCCCCCAACCACAGCAGACATGAACACCACTCTACCCCCCACGCCGCAGCCGAGATACATTAGCCTCATACTAGAATCAGTAGGCACAGATCTACATAGTCGGCTTGCAGTTGCACCCTGCCGCTGCTTTATCCGTCCGGGTCATTTCGGCCAACATGGTGGAGCCCTTCAATCTCGTCTACTTCCACATCGAAGTCACCGGGGTCGCTTACGCGGTCTCGTATACCACCATGTACTGTCTGCTCCTGTTTCAACAACAGATGCGACAGGCAAGGGCTGTTAGCAATCACGCCTCCAATGATTACATTCTCGTCAAGATGACCAGAGCACAAGTGTATGTGCTTCAACAAACCCAAACACTTGCCCATCGAGGTCAGACAGACCGAGAACCTGGTCGGCGCCTCATTCGATCAGCGACACCATTGCATACGACTGAGAGAGATCAGTACCTCGGGTGTCGAATTCTCTATAGATTGATGCCACGACGACTCTGGTATCGCGTAGGTGGCGAGTGCCTTCGTGCGGTCTGGCCGTGCGAGACCAGCAAGCGCCGATTCCTCCTCTCGTGCTTCCTGTGCTTGTATCACTTGCAGGTGCGAAGAGAGTGGACTCGGGACGTCGAACTTCTCACTCAAGGTTTACTCACATACTTAGCTATTCTTAGATTCCTCATCGAATGCGAACATTACCTCGTGGGGTCGCCATTAATTTTACTATCATATATTCCGATCACCGCCGCGGTGTCCATTCTCGATACCAGCAAGACCGGCCGCCCTTGGCCATTCTCGAAACCCGAAACGAACCGGCCAAAGCAGGAGGGCGAAGCTAATGCAAAGGGCAGGGTCTAGTTCAGAGACAAGCGAAGCTTGGGGATATGTTCGGTGGTGTTCTTCAACAACAACACCAGATCACCAACCCTCGGGGCAGACGCTGTCGCAATTGTCGCTGGCGTTCGGTACGAAACGTCGGCGTCATGGCCAAGCAAAGAGGCCTAAGCAGGGCTTGGTGTCGAAATTTATCTATTGGAGGAGAAGTGGAGTCAACCCCTCGGATTGTCGAACATTTTTCTCAACAGGAATATGATGGAGAGTTAGGTAAGTACTAGCTGGACACAGGGAACGCCTATGCTATTGTCTCTACTTTGATGGCCATGAAGAAGCTCATAGATGACGAGAGCTCGCGTTCTGGGTCGATTCGGCGCAAAATACGAAACAACAAATGGAAGAACTCATCGAGCGAATGGGGCGGCAAGCAGAGCGCCGTAGAGCCTTCGAGAAGTCGAACTTTGGATAACTGGAAGAGAGAGAAAGGGCAAGAGGAGCAGCAAGCAGGCTCCGACGAAGAGCCTGTCTACAAAGACGCGGGATCACAAATCGAACCGGATCCAGATCCTCCCGCTGATGCAGAGAGGTATACTGTGAGCACTGGGCTTCATTGATTCTACCCAGACTCGTAATTATTGCCGCCTATAGTGGCCAAGTCAGCTTGACCAGAAGCAACCAAGAGGACATCACTGCCTCGTGGAGCAGGCCACCAGACTTTACTGGTGAGGCCGGTTGCCGGAGGCACGGAGTATCGGCCGTCTGATCTACGAAACAAAAGCTATCATGGCACTGACCTATCTGCGAGTTAAATCGGCTTTCAACATGCAACTTTGACTAGCGGATAGGTCTTGAGTGAGTTTTGTCAAGGCTGGAATCTACGGAGGCGGAGTGGAGATTGGAAACTCGTACAGGGGAGCGAGGTAGATATCTTCTTCGTCGACTTGGAATTGACTTCCTCTGGGAGTAGCGCCGGATCAACATTGCCATGTCGCGCTCGTCAACAAACACTTGGACGTCGTCAGCAACTAAAGAATCGTCCGGTATCGTCATACCTACACCTCTCAGGCCATCTTGCTCTTACTTGTAGCCTCTGCGTCGCTGACGAAGTTCAACACTCTACGTCTGATCAAAAGTTTCGAGTAAGGGGAGGAAGCATCACTGCGGTCCTAGCCCTCTTCTTGCCGATAAGAACCTGTCTCCACCTGCTTCAAAGACAGCTTTGAAACAAAAGCTGTTAACTAAAGGGAAGAGGGTCACCGGAGAGATTTAGCGGCATCTTGCCTGAGTGACTGTTAACGACACTAGACGGAAGCTCAGTCCCTGGTCAACGCGGCCAGCGCACCCCTACTTTTGGGGGCCTCGGGAGAAAGCTAGTAAAGGCATTCGAGATGTCTTTAACGCAGGGGCCGGACCCCCTGCCAGCCTGTTTCCCTGGACCCTGAACACCATGGCGGGAAATGCAGACTATATCATGAAGAGTTGGAGGATGCAAAGATCATGCTATGGGCCAGTAAGCTCTACCAGCAAGCCATCATGATATCTTACATTGGACAATGAGGATGTGCTCTCGGAGTGGACTGTCAAGGGGACACAGTCCGGGCTTTTGCATTTTATGCTCATATGTAGAAGTTACGGCCTGATGGTGATATTACTCGCATATGTAAAGCAAGGACAGATATCTACTGATCCGGGATGAATATTCTTGCGAATACCAAAGCAACGGTATCCAGGCACCTAATTTTCTCCATAGATATTGTGCTCAGTATCGACACCCTGTCTGACTTGTAAATATTGACTCGAGGCAATCAACTGACTGGATAAATTTGCGGATATACCTAGGTGAATTACCTTCCCTGGACGAAATGGGGACCACGAAAGTTATCATAATCTCTTATATATCATCATAGTCTCTCATATATCATCATTATCTCTCATATGTCGTCGCATATCTCATATATCGTATGTGTACCCATATACCTTCTACTAAGCGAAAATAAGGCTATAAAAGGCCTCATTTCCCCCCGGCTTTTCAGACGCCCCCGTCTTCTCTTTTCATCTTACCACCGCAGATATGGGCACCCCTTTACCCGACCAGCAAGAGTACGACTCTGTTCTACAGGACTCGCATCGATCCCCCCTACCTCGATCTGCGCTCATCGACGTTTACTATTGGCCAGGTGTGGTTGGGATAAAGTCACTTCTCGTCCTGAGCTTACCCTCACTTTTTATTCTCAACCTGACTTCTTACACTTATCTAGTGCATCTTGACAGAGTCACCACCCAGTCGACAAACACGCACGTTAAGCTCGATACCGGAAATGTATACGTCATTAAACCTAAGCACCGTTAGTCATTGAGGGCTGGATTCCCTCGGTCCTTACGAGAATTGTGATCATTGCTGTTATTTATTATACGTGATATGGCCAGACTGATCCAGGAGAGCCTGGTTAACGTCATAGGACACGAGATCAATAGGGAAGCCGTAGACTCCTATAAAAGCAGCGAGACAACATTGTTTTTGCGTTTCAATGGTTGCCCTGCCCCTTCAGCACCTGGCTTCGAGGCTAGTGCCAATGCTGTTGTAGTATTTTAGGATGGCATGCCAGACCTTAGGGACCCAACATGAGCATGAAATGACCTCCACAAGCACCTAGTGGAGATACTTGATCCGTATATACACACCACGCTTACCCGATTCGTATTGACTAGGGAGCATTTTATTTCGCTGGAGATCAATTTATCAGGGCGCAGACAAAAAAGTAGCCAGCTGCTCAAGCTTCGCCTTCCTACGCTGATGAGGCGACCTGTCACAAGGCAATTTGCGTTGCTAAACTGTTGCAATCAGCTCATTCGGTACAACGCATGTTTGTCACGGGATCAAACATGCCTGAGAGAGTATTTGAGGCCGTATATTCGAGTACGGTACCAAAAAAAAGGGCAAAAAGGCAAAAAGATTGCTTCCTAGCCGATTCGAACGACTGACCTCGACATTGCGCGCTGAGTAAGCGTACTAGTGTCGCGCTCTACCAACTGAGCTAAGGAAGCTTGATATCTTGGAGACTGGAAAGACGATATACAATCCGTGTTGCATCTAACGGAGCACCGATGCGATTGGACGCAATCTTTCCCGAGTGGGCATTCATGCTCACGGCTTGGGAGACAAACAATTGTGTGTTGACAGTTTGGCGGTGGCGGCACCGCATTATGCCACGTTTTGAGAAAAAGGGCCGCCCTTCAGCGCAAGGCTGCGGTCGTTCCAGCCTATCAACTTGACTCTCAGGCACCAAGTTCCAAGCCATCACCAACATCTCTCATCATCTGCTCTGTCCCTTCCCTCGATCCACCGATACACTTCTCACACGACTATCGCAGCAGTTGTTGCCCGCCATGGCGGCCGTTCCTCTCGAAAACTGGTTCTACGATGTGCCTGTGTGCACCCGCTGGTGGGCCTCCGCATCGGTCCTCACCGCTGTCGCCTGCCAATGCCATCTCATCTCGCCCTTCCAGCTCTTCTTCTCGCTGCAGGCCGTCCTGTCTAAACGCCAGTACTGGCGGCTGGTCACTACCTTTCTTTACTTCGGGCCGCTGAGCCTGGACTTTATATTCCACATGTTCTTCATGGCGCGGTACAGCCGGATGCTGGAGGAGAGCTACTATCGGGGCAAGACGGCCGACTTTGCCTGGTTGATTCTCTACAGCTGCATTTCACTGTTGGTATGTTGTCTCGCCCAATTATCATAGATTGTGGATAGCATCTGACGATTGCAATCAACGTGCGATAGTTCTGTTCGGCCACCTTTGTTTCCATGCCCTTCCTGGGCTCCCCGCTCGCCTTCTCGATGGTCTACATCTGGTCGCGCCGCAACCCGGGTGTCCGATTGTCGTTTCTCGGCCTGTTTGTCTTCAATGCCCCGTACCTGCCGTGGGTTCTGCTGCTGTTCAGCCTGTTGCTCAACGGCCATATGCCCAAGGACGACCTGCTAGGGATCGCTGTTGGTCATAGTACGTTCTCCTCCTTCTCATGGCATCGAGTAGATGAAGTGTATCGCTAACACGGCCTTGTTGCAGTTTACTACTTTTTCATGGATATCTACCCCACGATACGCAACGGATCGCGGCCACTCGACCCACCAGAATTCTGGAGAAGGCTATTCGAGCCGCGTGTGGTCAACGCTCCGGTGGAAGTCCGGCAGCAAGGGCAGCCTGTGCACTAGATGCAAATGCTAGTACGATTGCAGATTATTTTATTCTCATCAAATACCAGCCGGCTCAGCAGATTGAGCGTTCACCGCTGCCGGCCTAAAATATACCCTTTCTCTACTGATGATACAATCGTGTACGATGCGACGGTGACCATGTTGACTGTGGTTTATCTTTCCAAAACACAATCAATTCTGTTCCTTTCTGCTTTTTGCCTTACGCGGGCGCATATCCTTACCGGCTTTTAGAGCGTCCCTATCATTTGCAGGTGTTCCATGGTTCGTTGGCTTGTTAATCTCCGTGTTACTCATTTTTTGCCATCTCCTACTATTACTTCTTGTATTTTAACTGCCGTCTCTAAGCTGCCTTGAATCGAAATTGTGGGCCGCAGTGGTCCTTACGCAAGCCGGCGCCAGGCACCAGGCGGTCCGCGTGGTCTGCGCTTATGGCAGTGCAAGCCTACTGTACGCAAACGAGAAAGGCGCACTCCACCACATTGACACCAACTGCGTGGGTCCAGTTCTTAGGATTGTGCATTACTACTCTACCGGCACGTCTTTGGTGAAGCTTCATCAACATGATACAAGCTTATATTATATAAAGCAACTGCCGGCCCCTCGACGGCGTCCTGACTGGCTGGGCGGAGTATCGCTTCTGCAACACCACCGCAACCCATCGTGAGAACGTCAGTGCACAATGGACCCATCCAAGCTGGAGCTCCACATCGCCCTCTCGCTATTGCCATACCTCGATGCCACCGACGTCTGCACTGCGCGGGGAGTCAATAAGGTACACAATTTTCAGGTTAATTGCGAATTGTAATGCACTTTCGCTAACTGTGAATGTAATTGCAGCACTGGAATGAGCTATTCTCGTCGCCGGACCTTCTCCGCCGTGCGCTCCGCATCTACGGTTCCGCCTCGCGAGAGCATCAGATAATCACTCGCCTGGAAGCTGAAACTACTGTTTCCGGGTCCTCCCCGCAGCTCACACCGGCCTACTATTGCTCCCTCTTTCGCAATTTTAGCATCCGGACACACAATCTACGCCATGGAACACCCATCCAGGAGATCCGCTTCCCAGTCCGTCGCGCTGCCTCGACAGGCAACTTTGTCTACGCCATCGCGGATGATGTGCTCGTCTACCTCAGTCCCGAGGTCGGCGGGCTGCAGGTTATATTCTGGAACCATGACACGGGCGAGTATGCCAATATGCGGATCGACCTGGGTGTAAAGAATCAGGGCGAGCAGCCATCCGCATACTCGGTGCGCAACCTGCGTGTATTCGAAGACGTGCTGGTCGTTGAGCATACCAAGGAGCACCGGCTAGAATTCGGCAGCGGATCGAGCTTCTGGAGCGTCGTCCAGGTCTTCCAGCTGACGTCGCCGTTCGCTGTGCCTGGAAACAATGAGGGCGATTCACCTGCGCCGCGCACCGGCTCCTACGAGCAGCTCTCTCTATTCCCGACCTTCAAGTACAGATACGTAAACTACACCGTATGTCATACCCTCCCTACTACCTAGGTTTATAAGACTACAGAACGCTAACATCCCTCCAGGAAGGCATCATCAGCGATCATTCATGTACGCACTACGCCGCCCTCAGCGGCCGCAGCAACTCCCTCGGCGTCGGTCTCTTCGTCTGGGACATCCTCACCGGCCGCATGGTCTTCGCCTACGAGCAAGAGGCTCTCGGCACCCGCAACATCACCCGCTCCCCAATGCTCGCGTCCGACAAGATTGTCATGGTCCGCGATTCCCACGTCATCCTCGTCAAGCCGGACCTCCGCAACGGCGACAAATGGCGTAAATACACCGAAGAATCAACGGGCTTCAAACTCCACATTCTAACCTTCGATCTCACCGTCGGCGAACGCACGGAAGACAACGTCGTCCTCCCCAGCGAGGACGACTGCATCCGCTCCTACGTCACCCGCGAGAAGGACGATGAAATGCTCGCCAGCTACCAAGATTACATCCAATGGCGTGTCGTCCGGCAGCGCGCACCCAAGCTCAACCACCACGACTCCCCACTGCTAACCACCTACCTAAACCTCTGGGGCCGACGGCGAGCGAACCCGTTCATGGCCGGCAAGGCCGCGGTCTCCACGTCATCCGAGGAGGAATTCCGCAACCGCCCTGTCGAACGTAACGAAATCCACCAATACGAACTGACAGTCACCCCGCCGACAGACGAGCTCCCCGTCCGCGCAATCTACACCGCCGTCAACAACAAACTCGCCCACACAGTCGACATCCCGCGCGCATCCAACTCGGAAATCACAATCGGCAACGACGTCAACCCGTTCTTCCTAAACTCGAACGGCACAGACGCCCTCTCCTTCGACATGGTCTGGTCCGGCGGCAACGCCGAATGTCTGGGCACCCGTCTTATGACCTTCCATTTTGGCATCCGCAGCTTCCAGCTGACGGAGACGTCAAGTGTCGCACTGAAGCGCGGCGATGGGCCGCTGCAGTACCATCTCGACTACTCCGCGTTCCTCAAGAGGGCGGACGACCGCAGCGTTGTTCGTGAGATCCCGTCGATACAGCGCAATGTGCTCGCGATGGCGCAGTCCCACCGTGGGGTCGTCGTGCCGTTCGATGTGCATGGCGACGAGCGCATGTCGATATACACGGAGCCGCGCACGGAGGGAAACATTGCAGACTTGGTGATGTGCGTGTGGGGCTCGGAGAAGCTGCAGCCACTTGCGTAGATTAGCATTTGTACACTTTATATCTATATATCTAAATGTCTAGTCATCGCTCATATAAGGGTGTATAGATTACATTAGCAGGCTTTTGGTATTTCAGTTGCTGTGTTTAGTGCATCTGCCAGGTGTGCGTTTTTCCACGCCCTTGCAAACGTATACTCCTCCAGACGGCCAGTCTTCGCCTTAAACGTAAATCCAGTAAAAATATACTTACAATATAATGAAAAGATGGTCTCGAAGCATCCTGGCAGCTTGGTGTGCGAGTGAGATAAAATAGAACGATAAGTTGTTTTCGCGCAATACCACGCTTTTCGCACAAAAAAAATCGCTTGAAAATTAGTAGAATTTAAGCAGATATAGGAGATACCAATAATATAATGCCTCCTATCTTCCCCATGGTATATGCGAAACCCCAACCAAAAAACGCCGAATGTGCGCAATATCGTGACGGAAAATCACGATTCAAAAAAGACACCCAAACCAGTTACACCACATCAGACTCGCCAATGTCCATGTCGTCCAGAGACTTCAGAATCGGCATCTCCCTCAGCGACGGTGGGTCTCCAACGTCGCTACCAACCTCACTCCCCGCCGTTGCGACAGCGCTCAACGGCGCAAGCGGGGCGCCTTCCTCCGCGTCCAGGTCCATCGGCGACTGGTCGTCCATATCCGGGCTGTGGAACGAGGGAATACCCTCGCCGGAAGACCGCGAGTCGACCTCCACGTTATACGCGAACGACAGGTGCGATTCGTACGACTGCGGCTCGTCCGAGTTTGATAGGAACGGGTCCGTCGAGTCCTCGCTCAGCAGGAACACGAACGATGGTTCCGGCAGCTTTGACGGCGGCAGATTGACTTGAATGGCGTCGATGACGTTATTCTCATAGCCGCTCTTGATATCCTGCTGCTGCAGCTGCTCGATCGGAATAGAGTGGAGTGATAGACGAGACTTCCCAACGTAGGTTGGACTCTGCTGCGTCTTGACGTAGATGACAAAGTTGTCGTCGGGACGGACGTTGGCGAGGCCGGATACCTCGAAAGGCAGCGGCGGCGGCACAACGGTCGGCAGGACTTCGGCGGCAATCGGCGCCAGCGTCAGATCCGGTAGGTGCTCTTCCAAGTCGTCAAACAT